TTTGCTTTTCTTAAATATATTATTCGTTTTTAAATTTTATCAAGATCATATTTATTGACAGATGTCTTGAAGATGGAACGTACCTAGTTCCGAAACGTCGATATATATATATATATATATATATATATATATATATATATAAATTGAGAGGTTTTTTCAGATGGTTAAATAATATAATAAAGTTGTTCTTGGGCACCCATCTATTAATTGAAACTATTTTATTTAAGTAAAATGTTTGTTGATTGTCAAACTTTTCGGGTCCTGATTTGACCCATCTTCAGTGCATACAAATAACTTGTAGAAAAAACAAAAAACACGGAAAATATAATGCACCAATTACTATACAATTTACAAAGCACGAAATTTAAAAAAACTATTAAATTGAAATAAAATAAATGAAAAGGTTTGAAAAAAAAGAACTTTTCTTATCGAGACAAGTTATATATATATATATATATATATATATATATATATATCAATTGATAATATAATTATATAATTGAATTTTATATAAAAGAGTTAATTCATTACATGAAATCAGCATTTTGCTGCCAATTTGATTTCCTCGGGCAATTTATAAAAGTTTCGATAAAACTCAACTCTGAATTATACGTCGATACAATTAGGTAATAGTAGGAGAGCTTATGGAAAAATTACTCAATTTATAAATAATTATATATATATATATTAGGGTGGTCCTTAAAATGGTCATTTTCGAATTTCCTTGCTCCCAGGGGCTCAAATGGTTCCAAATTGATAAAAAACAATTCTCTGAAAGTTTTAGCTCTTAATATTAACGTTTAGATAGAGCGCAATTCAATCAAAGTTTGTATGGAAAGAGCATAGTTAAAAATTTAAAATTTGAAAAAAATGTTTTCGGTATAACTTAGCGACAAATGAATGAGTTTTATTCATTCATTTGTTCGGTAAATTACATCTAAAAAAATTTTTCATGCTATTTCCATACAAAACTTTGATTGAATTGCGCTCTGTCTAAACGTTAATATTAAGAGCTAAAACTTTCAGAGAATTGTTTTTTATCAATTTGGAACCATTTGAGCCCCTGGGAGCAAGGAAATTCGAAAATGACCATTTTAAGGACCACCCTAATGTATATATATATATATATATATATATATATTAGATTTTTTTGTTCGGCGTTGAGACATATCTTGAATATTGATTTTTAGCCAATCGTCGAAATAAAAAAAAGAAATAAATTAAAATATTTATTTATAATATACGTTTTGACACGGATTGTGTGTCATCATTCAGCAAATTTTTTTAATCAGTATCTAAAAGAATATTTATAGAATTTAAAAATATAAATTTAAATTCATATTTAAAATAATTAAAGAATAATAGATATGCATACCACACCAGGAAAAACAATTTTTTTGATAGATATATATAGAAATGAACTAAACATACATACATAAATATAGAAAATAACATATTAAGCAAACATGTTTTGTTTTTAATTTTGAACTGAAAATAAAATAGTCTGGTTCTGAGCAAATCGTTAAATTAAATTATAATTATATCATTTTAACATATCTGCATTTTAATTGTTTTTTTTTCTAATATTGTTCTGATTTAGTTTCTTTTGTAATTGTAGATTACAAAAGTAATTTAATAGTCTAATATTTCTTTAAAGTACACTCATTCTACATATTATTTTAACTTGTCTGTATTTTAAATGGTTTTGATTTATTTTAAAATATTGTTTTTGAATAAATTTGTCTCATAAATCATTATCATTACTCAACGGTTTAAAAGTCATGAGTTATGAAATATATTAAATATTTAGTAAAAAAAAGTCTTTAGTAAAAAAATTAATTTATATCATTTTGCTTGATTTTTTAACAACTTGTAACTTAAAATAATATAAATATATAAATCGATATCAATCGACATATATATATATATATATATATATATATATATATATTAAATATAAATAATATAATAAATAAACAATATATTTTTTGACTGAATATAAACTTTAGTTCACTTGAATTTTGAAAATGTGGAAAAATTCATAATTTTATGTGAATTTTGAAGTTTTTATTAGTTTAAATTACTACATTGTATCTGTATTTTGAATAAATATATAAAATTTTTGAAATTTAATGAAATGAAAAAAAAATTTAAAAAAGCGTTAATATATATAGTAAGAATAGATTTTTATAATTCGAATATTATTTTAGTAAAAAATCTAAACTAAAAGTCTTTCAGTTTAAAATCGAGTCGTATTATTAATTTAAATTTATTCAAAAATTAGTAAAAAATATATTTTTAATCACATATTTTAAAAATTTTATTATACTACGTCTTGAAAATAATAACAAATTTATTTTTTGTTTTATGTTTAATATACTTGAATCAAAAAATATTATATGTTTAAAACTTTTTATTCGTAAATATAATTATTCACATAACAATTATAATTGTTTATATAATAAATCTGTTTAATTTCATTTTTGCTACATAATTTTAAACAAATAAAAAATAAAAATTATAAATTTATATGCAATTTAAATCTCTTCTATAATATGCAATATTGATTTTATCATTTTTATTCAATATAATAAAAATAATAATAATTTATATTTATTATTTAAATATTTTTATTCATAATTTATTAATATTCAAGATTTCTTTTAAGTACAAATAAGCAAAAATAATACATATATAAATTTGTTAAATATTAATAATGAACTCACAATTTTATTTATTCCGGCTTGAGATTTAGTTACACTTTTTTACCTTACCTGCTCTCAGTCTATTCAACTTTTTGATTCGGCGGATTTTTAATTCAATTAGCGATCTGTTTTTCCAAAAATAGATACAAAATTGTGAATAATTAATAAATGTTTCAGAGGTTTTTGTTATAAAGCTGCTTTATTGATCTGCTCATATATATGCATTGTATATTTTTAGATACAACAATAAATAAATAAATATATACTTAAATTAATTTATATATATATATGCATATATATACATACATATATATATAATATATATATATGTATATATATATATGTATATATATATATATATTGTCTCTATCTCTATATCTATATATCTCTATCTCTCTCTCTCTCTCTGTCTCTGTCTCTCTCTGTCACTATCTCTGTCTCTCTCTCTGTCTCTCTCTCTCTGTCTCTCTCTCTCTCTCTCTGTCTCTCTCTCTCTCTCTGTCTCTCTCTCTCTCTCTCTCTCTCTCTCTCTCTCCTTCCTCCTTTCTTCCGCCTTCTTTTTTCCCCTTCCCTTTCCCCCGTCCCCCCTCCCTTAATGACCTTGCTGCCTTTTTCCCTTCCCCTCCCTCCCTTTCTTTTTTCCCTCCCCTCTTCCCTCCTTCCTTCCTTCCTTAATTATTAATATCGCAACTTTGATAATAAATTATAACAAATTAATTATAAACTAGATTTAATATTTTTACACATTTTTCTAGATTTACATTAAAAAAAAAACAACTTTATGACTTCAAAAATTAATATTTTTCAACAATTAATATTTTTTCCAAATAATTAAATTTTATTTCATATTTACATTTAGGATATGTTAAAGATATGTCAATACGTATAAAAGAAATTATGTATGATATGTTTTTAGTTACAAAAATTAAATAATTTGAACTATATATAAACTATGTATGTGTTCATATATTATAAATTAATTTCTTTTAAATAATTCCATAACATTTTGCACATTTTTTGTACAATTTTATTTACTAAACAATAAAGAATTATTTATTAACAACAAAATTTGTAAATAATTATTTTTAAACATGGTAACAATTAATAACGTATTATTAATTAATATTAGTGGTTTTTAATAAAAATTTTGTTTTATACAATCCAAACATTTCTGGGAGCAATTTTTGACCATCTTCAGTGAAATTCATAACATTTTAATTAGAAATTTTATCTCGGTGCAAACGTGTTTCATAAAATTCATAACTTTTAAACCGTTTGAGTAATGAAAGTGGTTTATGAGACAAATTTATTTATAATTGAATTATTTATATTTTTTCTAATAAATATGTGCTCTAGAGCAACTCGGTATACTTTAAAATCGATATCAAACATGCCAAAATTTTGGAGTGGATTACGGTACAATTTTGATTTATATATAAAATTCATAACTCTTAAACGGTTCTCGTAACAAATTTGAGTTATACCACAAATTTGTTCAAAATTAAATTGTTCATAAATTTGTCTAACGACATAAAGCTCTACAGCAACTCGGTATACTTTAAAATCAATTTTAAACGTGCCCATACATGTAAATGCACCACTTTCTTATACATCCTGTAACTCCTAAACCATTCGTTTAATTTTGATGGTGCATTTAGACAACTTGTTTAAAATTAAATTATTCAAAATATTTTCTAATACCAAAAGTCTCTACAACAACTCGGTATACTTCAAAAACGCACTGAAACTTACATAATAAATTACTGACAAAGAATATGTATTTTCTTACAAAAGATAGTCACACTCTTGTAGGTTCTTAAGTTCAAAATTGATTTCGGTGCAATTTTGGTTTGTAAAATTCATAACTCTTAAACGGTTTGTGTAACAAAAATGATTTATACTACAAATTTGTTTAAAATTCAATTGTTTATAAATTTGTCTAACATCAAAATGCTCTACAGCAACTCGGTATACTTGAAAAACGCAACGAAACTCAAAAAATTAATTTTTAATAATGAAATTGTATGTTTTTTACTGAAGTGGTCACAAATTGTTATTCGAAACGTATGCAAAATATTTTTAAAATTTTTATTGTGTATCTAAACATATCCTCGTTTACATATCATCATCAAGTTTATTATAATTATTATTATTATAATTTATTTAATTTATTTATATTCTTTTAAATATTATATTTAATTTTATTATTATAAACTATTTACAATTAAATTAAAAACGGTATATAAACAATTAGATTTATATGTTTGTGTGTGTTTGTGTTTTTGTAAATATGTATTTTTGTGTTTATGTGTGTTTTGTTTTTAATTTTATTTTTTATTATTAATATAAATAATTACTCAAGATGATATGGAAAGCAGGCGCTAGCAGGGTATACATCGAAGACCATTTTTGAATACTTTTTAACGTAAAATCTGAAAAATAAAATCAAATATTAGTTATAGATTGGTGGAATGTTTGTAAGAATTGTTTGGGGGAGTGTTGGGAATAATTGTGCACTTAGGGTTTTGGTAAAAATTATATGGGGTAGGTACAAACTTGGATACAAACTGGTGATTGAATTTTAGGTAATTTTTTGATATTTCCTAAAAGTATTAAGTTTTTTTCTGGTTTTAAAATTTGTGCACATATTAGACATATTGAACAATATTCTAACAAAATTGCAATACTCTAGCTGTTAAGATTTGAGAAATATTTAGAAAATCCTGATAAAATACAATATTTTTTGTAGATGAAGTGCTGTCTGAAAAATTGATGACTGTTTTCTGCATATTTGCTCAGAAAATCGTTGATATTACAAAAAGTGTTTGAAAAATTCGGCAGTTTAAAAATTTGTGGACATAGTACACATGTTATGTAATATTTTAGCATAGTTTCCCTATGTTATCTTTTATAGTGCATTAAATATTATCAAAAAATTGGTCAAAAACTACATTTTTTTAGAAGTTTTGACCAAAATGTGTGAATTTTTCTCAGAAAATCTTTGATATTTCCAAAAGTTTTCAATAATTAAGTAGTTTTAGTATTTGTGCTGATAGTAGACATATTGTAGAATATTCTGTCAATATTACAATACTATATGAAAACCTGGTGAATTTTGATAATTTTTCAAAGTACTACAGGACAAATTCTAAGAATGCTAGCTCGTTGTCTATCTGTTCCTGAAATCCTTGATAATTCAAGTTGTGTTGAAAAATTTATGAGTTTTAGTTTTTTCGCTGATAGTAGACATACTAAGGAATGCTCTAACTATAATTCATCACTATCTGAAACCCTGGCGAATTATAATAATTTTTCAAAGTAGTGGTGGTGCAGAGCAAATTTTAAGAATGCTAGCTGGTTGTGTATATATTCCAGAAATCCTCAATAATTCTAATTTTCAAGAAAAATTTATCAGTTTTGGTATTTGTGCTGATAGTAGACATACTAAAGAATATTCAACCAATATTACAACACTATCAGACAATCTGATGAATTATAATAATTTTTCAAAGTACTACAGGACAAATTTTAAAGACGCTAGCGCGTTGTGTATTTGTTCCAGAAATCCTTAATATTTCAATTTGTGTCAGAAAATTTATCAGTTTCAGTATTTGTGTTGATAGTAGACATACTAAAGAATATTCTATCTATATGACAATACTATCTGAAAACCTGGTGAATTATAATAAATTTTTCAAAGTACTACAGGACAAATTCTAAGGATGCAAGCTGGTTGGGTATTTGTTCCAGAAATAATTCTAGTTTTGTTGAAAATTTATCAGTTTTAGTATTTGAGCTGATAGTAGACATACTAAAGAATATTATATCAATTTTACAACACTATCAGACAATCTGGTGAATTATAATAATTTTTCAAAGTAGTACACAACAAATTCTAAGAATGATAGCTTGCTGTGTATCTATAAGCATTTTAGGTTAATAAAACTCCTTTTATAGGACCCTAAGAGCTCTGAAAAGGACTTAAAGATAATAGATCCTTAATAACCTCTATTTAATACCTATAAGCCCTTCAAATCTGTTCAAAGATGCCAAATTTTAATATAACCTCTTCTATAAATCTTTTTTACAAATTTATTTTTTCTTAACCACAGTACACATTCTAGGGATGCTACCTAGTTGTGTTTTTGTTCCAGAAATCCTAAATAATTCAAGTTTTGTTGAAAAATTTATTAGTTTTAGTGTTTGCGCTGATAGTAGACATACTAAAGAATATTCTGTCAATATTACAATACTATTAAAAACCTGGTGAATTTAAAAAAAAATTCAAAGTACTACAGGACAAATTCTAAGAATGATTGCTTGCTCTGTATTTTGTCAAAAATTCCTTGATAATTTTAGTTGTAAGCCAAAAATTTAGGATCTGTCAGCATTTAGGGCCTAAAAACTTCTTTACTACGATTCCAAGAGCCCTAAGAAGGCCTTAAGGGTAACAGATACTTAATAACCTCTATTTTAGACCTATAAGCCCTTCCAAATTTACTCAAAAGGTGCCACATTTTCATATAACCTCCTCCATAAATCTCTTCTACCAATTTCATCAACCCTTTTTCAATATCAACTCTAACAATTTTATTTTTATTATCTCTACCTGTTACTATATTTTTTATTTTTTTATTTTTGCTCAAAAGATGCCAAATTTTTATATAACCTCTTCCATAAATCTCTTCTACCAATTTCATCAACCCATTTTCTATATCAACTATAACAATTTTATTTTTATTTTTTCTATCTATTACTATTTTTTATTTTATTTATACTGTTACTATTTTTTTTATTTTTTTTACCTGAGGATGCACCATTTTCGACAAGCGGAAAGTCGGTATTAAGGGAACCATGCCCTACGGAGGAGGCCCCTCCACCGGTTTGGGTAACTGCATAAGAGGGCGCAGGGACGCCTCTGGTTGGGGCTAAATTTTCACCTGGTGACATTCTGTGGTTGTTGTTGGAATTCAGACGTTTCGAACCTAAGAGGATAAAAGACATATTAATGGACATATAAAAATAGGGAAAAATACATCTAAGCATACGTTTCGACTAATAGTTGTATACTATGTATCAGTGTATGTGAACAATATTTATTTACAAGAGCGTGGTCTAAATCCTATCAGTGGAATTCTAGGTCTTTGTATTTCTACTCACCGTCTTTGGATATTTTAGCATCAGTCGGCTTAGGTGGAGATGACGGCATAACTATTTCTAAAAAATAAATTATTAATCAATTAAATTTAATATTCATTTGTTATTACTAGATTTTATTCATTTGCTTACCGTATAATCTAATTGAGCCCTCCGTCTCTCCAAGAGAATTTTTTGATATGCATCTGTAGTTTCCGAAATCGGCTGATTGGATGTCCCTTATCGTCAACTTCATGTGAGCCCTAAAATCAAACAAATATATTAAAAAAAAGTACGCGTAAAGATCACACGCGATTGAAGTAAAACTTATTTGCTACAAGATGGCATTTAAGTAAAAATAAAATTATCATATAACAATTTTGAATAATTTTCATTAGTAATATGGTAACACTCGTGATGCACACACTTATTAGTGTCGACAATTATACACATTTATATAATGATAAATTATAAATTTATCATTGCATTAAAAATATGTATAACATTTACAAACAACAATGTAATCAAAGTCATACTTCAAACATGACATGATCGGTTTGTCATTGTAATTAGCATTTAGAAACGAATCTTCATTAGAGAAATGAAATAATTGCTGATTAATAAATTCTATTATAAGTGGATTATGTAAAACAACGCCTAAACAAATATTGTTTTCACAATTTCACTCATCATGTAATAATTGTGTTTGAAGAACTTCATGTAATTAAAATTAACATACATTCATTGACTGCTTGTATTTTTTTTACTTTTTTCCAGACTTTTTTTACTTTTTTTTTAAATCTTATATATATATATAAATTAAGTTTAATTTACTCCTCAGTAGAGTCCTTTTTATAACCTTGCTCGTCGGTAGAATCCGCTTTTCAAGTCATTATATATAAATAATTTTGCTCGACAGTAGAGTCCCTTTTTGTCTTTTAGATCAATTTTGTACATTTCTATCAAGTTATTTGATCACTTGTCAGTAGAGTCCCTATTCTATTATATTATTTATTTGTTATTCATTTGTCAGTAGAGTCCCCTTTTGTCTTTTTTGTCAATTTTTAGTTTGCTCGACGGTAGAGTCTTTTTTTATATTTACGAATTTCAAATTTGGTCGCCAGTAAAGTCCAATTTTAAATATTTTAAATTAAAATTGAGTTTTCTCGTCAGTAGAGTTCTTTTTAGAGACATTTTCTATTCATATTTTGCTCGTCAGTAGAGTCCCTTTCTTCTCTTCTAGATTGAAATTAAAATTTGCTCGTCAGTAGAGTCCCTTTCACAAAACATTTTTCATTAATATTTTTGCTTATCAGTACAGTCCCTTTTAGTATCTAGATTATATTTGCTTACCAGTAGAGTCCTTTTTCTTCTTTTAAGTTGAAATTAAACTTTGCTTTTTTAGTTTTCCTGTCAGTAGAGTCCTTTTTATATTTTCTTATCGATCAGAACTTTGTTGGCTTGTAAGCAGAATCGCTTTTTTAATTTTAAGATAAAATTTATGATCATATTTTAACTACTCGATTTTTTATTTGCTCGTCAGTTCAATCTTTTTGATCAAAAACTAAAGTTTCCTCGTCAGTAAGGTCCTTTTTTATGTTTCCTTTCTATATCTTTTATATTTATACCAGTTAGTGGAGATCTTTTTCAGTTTTTATATTTACTAATTTTAAATTTAGTCATCAGTTGAGTCCCTTTTTATCAACTAGATTGTAATAGAGTTTGCTTGTCAGTAGAGTAGAAGATTAAATTTATGTTTGTTCGTCAGTAGAGTCCTTTTATTTTTCTCTGTCGTTTGATGATTCTTTGAACAGCTTTAGAATCTGTCTTGTCTATAAAAACATTATTTATTTTAATATAGAAATAATTTGTAATTAATAAACTTACGTTTAGTACACGACACAAATGTTTAATTTGTTTTATTAATTTCAAGGAACAGGGTAAAATATTCTTCTGATTCAGGCACTTTTCATTAAATCAAGATTTGTACTACGATGTAACTTTAAAATGTTTATTTATCTATACCGATTTTCTTGTTGATATCGGTACGCATACAACGACAGATTTCTATTCACATACACGACGACTAATCACAATCGACCCGTATAGAAATGATATCATCGAGATCGAATGACGAATCATTGGATTTGACTCTTATCTTATCTTATATGCCGTAACGCATTTTCGTTGCATTTGTACGGATTTACACCCATGTCGCGCCTAAAGAAGTTTTACGTCAATAAATTGAAGAGAACCCTCAAGGGCGAAGAGCAATCTCAAGAGTGACGAGCACCCTCAAAAATAACAGGAGAAGAAATTTTGTAGAAGAGATCATCAAAAGAGGGAATTCTGAGCTCAAAAAAAATTTGTAAAAAAAATGCAAAGAAACAAACTCTACATTCTTGCAAGTACACCTAAGTCTGTTTTTACACGGTCTTTTTGTACACGGTATAAAATTGAATATTTTTAATTTTTTTACACGATTTTATTCCATTTAGCACGATTCGAAATTTTATGTACTTAATTTTTTTTTGTCAAATTTAATTTTTGCGAAGTATGTTCATATCACAAAAAAGTACTTATGAAAGAAAAAAGTCTGAAACCATCGATAGTATCGATAGTTTGCGAACACCAGCTTAAAGATTTAAGTGAATTCCCCTTTAGCGCGTACAAACAATTTTTACTGGTCAAAGCAAATGTGAATAGCACTAATTTAGGGGAATTATTATTAAAATAAACATGAATTCTTGTTCTTGAAAATTCTTGTTTTTCACTAATTTTAATAGGTTTTAGAGATTAGGAACAAATCATCCATTTTTGTATAAGATCAATGTCTTTTTTTTTCCCTTTGTTTTTTTACACGGCTTCTTCTGGAACCAATCTACCGTGTAAAAACAGACTTAGGTGTACTTGGCCAAGAATTTTTTGACCAGACCAGATGAACTCTATAATTTTTTACCTGTAACTATTTTCCATGGCCTCTGTGAAGTGCTTCTTGCTGGGCAGTACCATCATTCCATTATAGACCCAGTAGCTGATGGCCCTTGGGTGCGCCTCCGTGTGACAATCGATGGTGACATCGGTCCCCGAAGGAGCACCCACCAACTGGTTAGGGACCCAGATCATGGGGGGAACTGTGACCCAAAATAAACCATCAGTATAAATAAAAACCGACGGAATTAAGATATTTTATACTTACATTCTACATGCACTATTATCCTTTTACTAACAGACGGCGGCACCCCGTTCGTTGCTATACAGAGATACGCCCCCATTTCGGTCCTGGATATTCTACTCAGTTGCAACTGCTCACCATCGTGCACCAAAACTAGGAAAAAGCACACGTATTATTAAACTTGCAAAAATAATTTCATCTTCAGGGTGATAAATTTATTACCCTGTGTCAACTGTATAAAAAAGGAGTGCGCGTAAGGATCACACGCGATTGAAGTAAAACTTATTTGCAATTATATTGTAGCAAATTTAAGTTGAGTAAAAATAAATACATCATATAAAAATTTCGAATAATGTTTATTAGTAATATGGTAACACTCGTGATGCACACATTTATTAGTGTCGTCAATCATTATACACATTTAATATAATGATAAATTATAAATTATATATTTATGATTGTGAACAATAATGTAATCAAAGTCATACTTGAAATATGACATGATCGTTTTAAAGTAATTGCTGATTGATAAGTTCTATAATATTCGTTCACACAGTGGATTATGTTGAACAACGCCTAAACAAATATTGTTTTTGCAAATTAACTCATCCTGTAACAATTGTGTTTGAAGAACTTTATGTAATTAAAATTAACATACATTCATTTACTGTTTGTATTTTTTTTTTCGCTGACGTTATAGTCTCATTCTTTGAACAGCTGTAATATCCGTCTTGCCTAACAAATTGAAGCCATACTTTTATATTTGTTTTATTTATCAAGCCCTGCACATTGTTTGATCTATGAATCATTTGCTTTTTTATGTGAACGTTAATGCAATGATCATCATCAATATTACGAGGTAATAAATTAACCATATTATCAACCTAGGTGAAATTAACCTTTCAGATACAGTATCTAGTTTAGGTAGATAATTTGAAGGTGAAAATACAAACCCGTTAAATTTACACAAAATGGGAATTTTACCCGAATTTAATATCTTTCGACAAGTTTGACATCCAATTTGATTATTTAAATCAATATTCAAAAAACACCATTAAGAATTTGTTTTTGAGCATCATTTGATATTTCTAAGTCACTTTGAAGCCAAAGTCGATCACATACAAAACATACATAGCCAAAGCTATCATTTCTTACGCAGCGCAGATTTTTCCTTTGTTTCATTATTTATTTGCGATCATTTGCACTACAATTATTTATGGGGGGACGCGATAAAATATTCTTTTGATCCTGACATTTTTATTAACTCACGAATTATACTGCTAACCCATGTCGCGCCTAAAGAAGTTTTACTTCAAAAAATGTTTAGAGACTGCGAGCTAAATACAAAACTCAAGTGAAAGTCGACACATTTTGTTTTGTTTTTGACATATGATTTGACATTTGATGTATTTTTGTTTTGCTCGCAGACTATATCGAATAATTGCGATAGCTGCGCTTACTAGCGTCGTAGTCTTCAACTTCACGTTGGCGTTTTCGTTGCATTTGTACGGATTCACACCCGTGTCGCGCCTAAAGAAGTTTTACTTCAAAAACACACGTATTATTAAACTTGCAAAAATAATTTCATCTTCAATGTGATAAATTTATTACCCTGTGTCAACTTTTTCTAGGTGCGAATTCAGATATCAAAAAGATATGGGGGAAGTGGTTAGGGTTGTGGAGGGTTCACCGTAATTCCATATATCATCTGGGGGTAATCTTGAGTTGTCATATGATAAATGTTGGAGATCATTTATTCCCATACTGTCACATCATGGTAGAGGAGGAATGAGAATTGCTTATTCATGGCAGTTTTTTTTATGGATGAGAGAGGGATGACAGGTTTATTAAAATGGGGGATGGATCCAAAAACTATGCCAAAAGGTAAAGGACTGTGGGAGATGGTGGAAATAATTTTATTTTCATTAACACTTTGTGCAAGGATTTGTTGCCTGGAACTTTCTTTTGTCTTGTTTGATTTTTCTGACTTTTGTGGATGAGACAATTGCAACAAATGTGTTTTTTTCTTTTACCTTTTTTGCGTCGATCCACAGTAAATCCTTGTCCATCCTCTCGTCTCCACATCAATTTAGGAGCAGGAAAACCATCAGCCTTGCAAGTTAGAGTGATGTTCTGGTTTTCTCGAACTGCAACCGCAGACTGCGTGCTGTTTTCATCCAAAATATTTGGAGGTACTGGGGAAATAATTGATAATTAGTAAAATAGATAGATAAAGCACGATTAGAGACTGATCTAATTCTAAGGATTGTGTAAGGAATAGGTCATGGGCTGATGGAGTTCTCAGGATTTGCGCAAAAATTTTGGTGAAATTAGTTAAAATGGAGCCTAGATAAGATATTATTATTGATATGATGCTGCATAAAAATAGGAATTGTCATGTATAAACTCCAATGATGAATTCACCACCATTCATTTTATCTATTTTTACAAAAAAATTGGACTTGTTCTAGTTGACATTTTTTTGGATGCACCAATGACATTTTATATGATTTTTAACTTCCCGTAGGGTAGTTATAGTAATGGGCCAAAAATCGAAAATTATTTAAAAATAGTTCTGATGACAATAAAAAATTGTAATTTGAGTATGTTAATCTCTAATGTATCCATTATGACAGAAAATTATAAAATTGCTGAATTTTTAAATTTAATAGAAGATATATATATATATTTTTATGGCACCAATATCTATTAAGACTATAAATACTATAATTGTTGAATTTTTACGTTTAATAGAAAATATTTATATTTCTATGGTACCAATGCGCGATGAGCTTAATGTTGGTTTTAGTCGTGATAAAAGTTTGAAAAATATTTAGAAATAGTTTTGATGACAATAGGAACTTGTAATTTAAGAATTTTAATCTCTAATATATCTATTATGACTGTCAATACTAAAATTGCTGAATTTTTACATGTAATAGAAGATATTTATATTTTTATGGGACTAGTGCGCCATGAGCTTAATATTGCTTTTAGTTGGCGCGCTGATGACAAAAGTTTGAAAAATATTTAAAAATAGTTCTGATGACAATAGAAACTTGTAATTTAAGAATTTTAATCTCTAATATATCTATTATGACTATCGATACTAAAATTGCTGAATTTTTACATGTAATAGAAGATATTTATATTTTTATGGGACTAGTGCGCCATGAGCTTAATATTGCTTTTAGTTGGCGCGCTGATGACAAAAGTTTGAAAAATATTTAAAAATAGTTCTGATGACAATAGAAACTTGTAATTTAAGAATTTTAATCTCTAATATATCTATTATGACTATCGATACTAAAATTGCTGAATTTTTACATGTAATAGAAGATATTTATATTTTTATGGGACTAGTGCGCCATGAGCTTAATATTGCTTTTAGTTGGCGCGCTGATGACAAAAGTTTGAAAAATATTTAAAAATAGTTCTGATGACAATAGAAACTTGTAATTTAAGAATTTTAATCTCTAATATATCTATTATGACTATCGATACTAAAATTGCTGAATTTTTACATGTAATAGAAGATATTTATATTTTTATGGGACTAGTGCGCCATGAGCTTAATATTGCTTTTAGTTGGCGCGCTGATGACAAAAGTTTGAAAAATATTTAAAAATAGTTCTGATGACAATAGGAACTTGTAATTTAAGAATTTTAATCTCTAATATATCTATTATGACTGTCAATACTAAAATTGCTGAATTTTTACATGTAATAGAAGATATTTATATTTTTATGGGACTAGTGCGCCATGAGCTTAATATTGCTTTTAGTTGGCGCGCTGATGACAAAAGTTTGAAAAATATTTAAAAATAGTTCTGATGACAATAGAAACTTGTAATTTAAGAATTTTAATCTCTAATATATCTATTATGACTATCGATACTAAAATTGCTGAATTTTTACATGTAATAGAAGATATTTATATTTTTATGGGACTAGTGCGCCATGAGCTTAATATTGCTTTTAGTTGGCGCGCCGATGACAAAAGTTTAAAAAATATTTAAAAATATTTCTGATTGTAGTATAAAGCTGTAATTTAAGTATGTTAGTCTTGAATATCTCTATTATGATAGCAAATACAAAAATTTGGGAATTTTAATTTTTCACTTACCAGTTCGTCCAAGTTGTTAGAATCCGTCATGAAAAACGTGAAAATGCCGCCGAGCTAAGCACAATACAAGTGAAGATGTCGCACAGAATTATTTGCAAATGCGTTTAGACTGTTACAATACGGGAGCACTTTTTCAATTTTGTGCAACTATTTTTTTTTTTTGAAATTGAATTTGAAATGAAATGACGATTGTTAATGTTCCTGGAGATTTGCAATTGATTTATGATTTACATTTGATTTGCTCAGATATAACAAGATAGCAAAAATAATGAAAGTTACAGAGTATTTGTAATAATATATTTGACAACGTTTAAAATTTCTCGAATATTTCATTACGGTACGAGAAGTTTCGGCAATTTGCCTTAAGGCACGATGCCATACACCACTAGTTTTTTTTTTAATCATCTTACCGACTACTTGCAAGTATCCAACTTGACTCAGCATAGGATTTGTATTGACTTGGCACATATAATATCCTCTGTCCTCCTGTTGCGCCTGGCTAACATGCAATAACCAGGTGTTGGCATTGTCGTAAGAAACGCTGAAACGTGGTAGACGTGAAATGACGTGACGATGGATCGTCAAGATCATTTGACGATCTATGTGGATCCAGGCAACCTGGGAATAGATAATAGTAAATGGTAATTGATAAACTTTATTAGTTACTAGCTGACCCGGCAAACGTTGTTTTGCTAAATATGGTATATTCTAAACCATTTCTAGAGAATCAAAAATATTAATACTTTAAGTGCATAAGGATGTGTTGTTTGAATGCTATTATATACAATGATGAGGTATTATAAAAACAATAAACCCCATTAGTTTGTCTATATTTTGTCAATACAATCAAACTGCAAGTTTTATACACTTTCTATAGAAAACATCGTATAATCCAATCCGAGTCTTTTTTGGTCTTTCGACTTATTGATTACGTTTCAAGTTATTCAGATTCTTTTTGGATTCTGGATTTTGTGTATAATTGTAAATAATACAACTGAGCTTATACAAAATTTTCAAATTTTTGCGAGGAGAGATAAAAAATTAAGTATTTCTTCTTTGACCTGCTTTTTGAAAAGTTTCAAGTTATATTCGATGAATTAAAATAAATTTAATAAAAAGTATATATGTAGAGCAGGGCGAGACACAAAGGTCCAATTTGACTTTGAGCAAATATAAACTATATTGTGAAAACCATAACAATTATATCACAACAAATAAGACATATCAAACGAATAAGACCTATCTGACTACGTTCAGTAAACTGACTGTGCTTGTTTGATGTCTTCCAAAAATTTGTTATCAAGACCTTTTTATCCTATATGCGGGGTAACTTGTAAGGTGTAATTTTAAAGGTATTTTACAAAATAATTACATTTTTAACTAATGCTAAAACTACCAACGGAAGAAAATACTTTTATTATGGATTTTCAAATATTACCGTTTATCTCCCCCATTTCAAAGATTATCGTTTTCAAATCAAGTTTGTAACTGGCTATACATTTTTTTCCCTCTACTTTCAAATATTGTTGTTAAACAATGCTTGACTTTACTGATTTTTGACACATCGGTGGTGGACCTTTTTAACCCCGGACCTTTATATATTACTATCTATTCTTCGATAGATAAATTCTGGAAAATTATAACTGGGAAAATGTTATTCGATAAAATGTCTATTTGATCGATACCAAATTTAGGTTCTGAATTTAAATAAGATAAATAAAAAATAATATGACCTAGAAAATGTTTTATAAATACCAATAAGTATATAATTATACAAATGAGATCTTTCAGAGCACTGTGTTTGAGAAAAATATGCCAAAAAGTGCATTTTCATATTAACATATCAAAAAAGTTTATATTTTGAGTCTCTAGTAACACTTGCGGCCTGTTTACTAACGTTTTTGTATATAAATAAAACTACAAACAAAACTACTTACTACAAATTTATCATAAATAAATAATATTCGCGTAAAACATCCTATTAAACGTAATTGAACATCATCTGTCAAAAGCGTTTGACATTTCACGAAATTGCCACCGTCCATTGTTTTATTTATATTACGCTTCTACAAAAATTTTCAAATTAAAAATGTAAAGTTTCTACGCGGATTTGAAATAATTTCTCACCTTTTAGACTTTCTCTGGATTGGCACGAATTTTTCAAGACTAAGACTGGCCAAATCGATTCAGCCGTTTTCGAGTTTTATTCGGACATTTGAAAGAGAGCTCCATTTTTATATATAAGATATATAAGTTTATTAAGGGGGTTTTTTTTTTTACAAAAAATGCAAGGTATTTGTTTTTGTTTTTCTCGAATGTATTTGTCATAGAGACATGCGGTTTTTTTTAAACAAAAATTACAAAATTATAGAATATTACGAAATTTTCTTTTTCTTTTTTTTCGCTGTCATTTTTTATCCAGGGGTCGTCAAAGTCGGCCTTGCAAAATCGATCTAATTTGCGGTGCCACAGATAAATCCGTTGCGCATCGCCCGAAACAAAGAAAAAAAAACTACGACTTATAGTTTTTTTTAACTTGTGGCACCGCATTGAAAAAAGTCATTTTGAGAAAAACGTATTTAAAGTTTTTAATATAATGTACTAAATACACAATTTAATTTAATGTACTAAATACACCATGGTGTTCAAAGATGCTGACACATTAAAAGGTCATGTGCATGAGGTATTATAATGAAAAAGAGAGCAGCTGGCATGCAATAGCTCGCGGAGCGATGAAAAAAACGGTTTCAGAGGATCATAGATATGGGGATATATAAATCTATAACTTCGTCAAAAAAATAGATATTGAGATGATTTCTAAGGTTTTGAGCTTTCATAATATCAAAAAATCTCAAAATCGGAAAAAAATAAATAAAAAAAGAACAACCCCTTAAAGTCGATTTATTCAAAACTTTTATATTGGAGTATATAAAAGTGGTCTCTAGGAAATATTGTAAATTTTATCTAGTTTCACCCTGTCTAACTGAAAAGGAATAAAACCACATAAATGTCCCGAATCATCTATTCATTACTAAATAAGTTTTGAATGAAACGACTTTGAATTCGATATTTCATTCTTTAGCACAATAATTAGAAAAATTGTGACATTTTTTTGGTTTTAGTCAAATAACTTTATGCACTCCGATATAAAAGTTTTACATAAAACGACTTTGAATTCCATATTTCATCAACAAATTAGATTACCAATCTTGTATTTTGTCTTTGTTTAATTAACTCCAAAAACACATTTCACTCTGTGTATTTGCAATTACAATCCCATTGTCTTCGCACCTTTGTCGGTTTGATAAATGCACTAAAAGTTACCACTTAATTACCTTATAAGCTCCTAAATTCTCGACGACGCAGGGTAAGTTGGCATCGCGCCCGACTGCTACCGTGACATTCGGAATCGGTTCTGTGAATCGGGGTTCATCTGTTACAACTGCAAAATGAAATTTGGTCAGATTTGATTAGGTGGTCATTGTTAATTGGAAATGGATGATAAAAGAAATATTTATATATATTCAACTACTAAATTGCAAATTGGCATCAGTTGCATTAGTACCATATTTGGGTAGATGCTGCTTGACGTAGATGGAGATTCCATCAAGTTTGTGTCTTTGGCGACTTTTGGACATTGTGCATATTTCTTGTTTTTTTTTTTGTACAAGACAAACAGGTTTTGAATTTTACAAAATGCTCATACGGTTCCTGAGATATCGTCTGGTTTATATTTTAATTTATTTTGTTATAATTTAATTAAATATATTACAAAAATTATATATCATTCGAAATCTGATAAAATTATCTACAAATCTATACATAACGTTTAAAAACTTTTCAAACAAAATTAAATAAGGAAAATACATGAAATTTAAAGTTTTGGTATCTAGATGGATTTTATCGGTTACATTTTTTTATAATGTTGTTGACATTTTGTCTAAGTTCCCATATATTATTATATATCGTTGAAAAGTTTATAAAATTGTTCATAAATCTGTATATAACAATTTTTTAATGTTGGAACAAAATTATATAAAAATAATTCCTCAAACATTAAAATTAATTAAATTAAATTTACGTAAGGCATATTGTTTTAGCTTCAACGATTTGGTTTATATTTTAATTTATTTTGTTATAATTAATAAAATATATTATAAATATTATATATCATTAGAGAGCTAATAAAATTATCTATAATTACTTATATAAGGTTGTCAAATATCTCCCTTCCGCCTTTTTGTATTATAAACCAATAGTAAAAAAGCGGAAGGGAGATATTTGACAACCTAATATAAATTGCAAAAATTCATAGAACAAAATTCATTGGAAAATAACTTTCCCAGAATGTTACTTCACTATTTTGGAAGCATTTGATGCCCTGGGAGCAAAAAAATCGAGAACTATATTAAGGACCACCCGTTACAAAATGTTATAACTAAATTCTTGTTACATGAATCACCTTATATATTTTGCGATATTTATATAATAATAATAATTATAATTTATAATTATATGAGCAATCTTATTATCGGGTGCCAGTATATGGTTTATTTTGAAATGTTTTATGAAAGTATAAGAATTTATCGAGGTTTCTTTGAACTATAACTAATTGTGCAAATTATTATATTATATATATATATATATATATATATATATATATATATATATATATATCTATATATGAAGCATTTTATAAAATTGCGTCTTATTTAAAATTAATTGGTCTTTAAGCAAATTAACCACAAATTTATTTCTTATTTAGCTTTAAATTTTGAAGATCATTCATAATTTTTGGGGGAAAAATTATACTTTGCTACAAATGTATATTTATATATAATTTAAAAAGTACATTTATTATGACCTTATCAGAATGCTAAAAAAATTAGGCGATATCAGTTATTAATTAATTTGATTCTAGGAAGAAGTAAGATTTTAGGAAAATCCAATAGCAAAGGCGAGAAAATATTGCAACATATTGCATTTTACCATAATTTGAACGAGCGCAAAAAATATTAATTTCAGTAAATTTTACATTTGTAATTATAGATAATTTTATCAGCTTTCTAATGATATATAATATTTATAATATTTTTTATTAAATTATAATAAAATATAAAATATAAATCAAAGCGTTTGAAGCTATAACAATATGGACGCCTTACGTAGATTTGATTTAATTAATTTTAAAGTTTGAGGAATTATTTGCATATAATTTTGTTCTAACATTTAAAAATTGTTATATACAGATTTATAAACGATTTTATATACTTTTCAATAATATATAATAATATATAACAAAATCTCAACAGAATAGTGCTAAATAAAAAAAAATGTAACCGATAAAATCCACCTAGATACATAAACTTTAAATTTTACATATTTTTTTCATTGACTTCCCAAAGGAGAAGATTGTTTTCATCAAAAAAAAACGATTCTCTAATTTTATGTTTTCTCGACGTTTCAAGCCATTCTGAATCGAATGAGGCCAAATTTGGAAAAAGTATCTGTGTGTGTGTTTGTGAACAGATTTTTTACCGTAAATCGACGTTTTCTCGAAAACGGCTGGGCCGATTTCAAAAATTTAAAAGTCATTTGATGTATCTCGATGAGGACTATTGTTTATCATTTTTGCGTGACGATCAGCTAAGCCGTTTCTTTGTAAATAGCAGGAAAGTGAAAAATGGTTTGTCCACATTTTAGCCCACAATTCTGAAAGATATTTATTGGGAATCGTGCTTATCAGTTTTTGGTAGAGATCTCTTGTAATGAAGTGTTAAAAAAAAATTCGACGATTTTTATTATTATTTTTTTGGCGGTGGACACTAGGGTTTGTCGGTTTTCAAAAACCGGTTTTAAAAACCGGTTTTTTGGCGAAAATTATAGAATTCTAAAACCGGTTTTTTAGTGATAAAATTCGGTTTTCACTGTATACATGGAAAATGACAAATATAGTCAAATATAAAAGATGAAAGCATTTTGATTCTTGAAATCATATCATTTCTTTAGCATTTGATATCTTATCAGTCTGCAACAGTTTCCAAAAAGCTTTGTATATAATAATTTAGATTTTTATACCAGTGTATACATTAATTTAAATCAGCGTGACTTCTTCTTGAAGAAGTAACTTCCTCTACTCAAACTAAAAAAAAAGAGTTTTAAACCCTAGAAACCACAATTGAAGAAAAAAAACTTGGAATTATTATATCAGACTTCAAAAACAATTAAGCATAATTTGGTCGCAAGTATGAGAGTATTTTCTATTTTGAGAGAAAATTTTGTGAGTAAACAAAGGACACGTCTATGTAGAAATTCGATAGACGTTCTCAGTTTTTTGAAATCGTATTTTATTAAACAAAAAAACAATTAGAATTAAATAAAATTACTCGGAACAGACAATACCCGAGTTTTAAACTTAATTGCTTTTAAAACTAAAATTTATATTAAAAAGTATGTATCAAAATGTATCTAATATTTCTTTATTTATTTTTTTTTATTGATTTTTCATTTTTTTTGTACTAAAGTTTGTCAGTTTTGTGCGACAATCTGCCAAGCCGTTTCTTTGTAATTTGAAAAAAAGTGTTAAACTTTTCGTCGACATTTAAGTTCAAACTACCGATCTCGATTTTAAAAAATCAAAAACTGTTCGAAAGATATTAGTTGGGAATAATACTAATTAGTTTTAGGTGAAAATCTACCGAGCCGTTTTCTTGTAATTAACTGTTGAAAAAAAATTTAGGCCGATTTTTATGGAACTTTTTTTGCCGATATAAATCATGGTCTTGTATAATAGAACTTATTGAATTATTACGGCCTTACGACAAGTAGTTTAATTTTAAAAATTCATCAAAGTTTGAGAAATGAGTAGTTTTTTTTGACGTTTGTTAAAATTAAAATTAGACGATTCATTTGGTGTAACGATAGAGTACTTTGTCTTAATGAACATACAAATCACTAGAGTCCAACGGAAACTGGTTTAATTATAAAAATCATTGATTGTGTGAAAATTTGCTGTTAGAAAATACTCCGAGTTAACGTGTTCGCTCATTTTCAATTATGTGTAATGAATCCACTCGGAATACTTTTAATGACTCATAAATTAATTTATATTTTATTGATCAAGTCGATTATTTACACATATCGGGAAGTTGTATGTAACTTGCCTCAAGGCTAAATACCAATACCAACTAGTTTTTAATGAGTCAATTTCCTTACCTTGATTTATGATGGTGATGATATGGAGCAGGAATGACAGTCCATACTTTTTCTACCAAAGGCCATTTTGAAACATGCTACAAGGCGTAGCTTGCTGCAAAAGAAAAACAAAAAATATTAAAAACTAGTGTTGTATGGCACCGTCCATTTTTTCTGAGGTATGCCAAAATGTTTAGAAACCTTCAAAACGTCGAGAAAACAAAAAAATTCATTTTCGATTTTCGGCCCATTACTATAACTACCCTACGGGAAGTAATAAAAAAAATGTGTACTATTAAATAAACGATCAACTAAGAATGTGCTGAACTTCCTGCTGATGACACACATACAGTTCCAAAACGTGCAAAATAATATTAAAATCATTTCCAGACAGTCTGCCCCCAAATATCTGTTTCAAGTATCAAAAGCATCCCCAAAAATTCATCTCCACCTCATTCTAATGTCTTTAAATAAGAGATGCGTCTTCGTCTCTTACTATCTATCATTTGAAATATTCAGCTGCTCCATTGCTCCATTTCTTCTATTGCTCCACCGCACTCGAAATAATGACGACATAAAAACGGACATAAAAATGAAATATACATAAAAAACGACGACGTGTGCCCTCGGAAAAATTCCCATTTACACTATAATGTAGACAGGTATTTGTAATGGACACCCAACATTTGTAATGGATCGTAAAAGATAGAGGGAGACACTGCTGAAACATAAACTGACTGATTTGTTTTTAACTTCCCGTTTGCTTTTAATGGTAAAAAAATTATTACATCTTTTTTTTTATTTTACATAAAAATTTTGTAATTTTGGATTAAAAATTCAAACTGCTGGGCTGTATGGCATCATGCCTTAAGGCAAATTGCTGGAACTTCCCGTACCGTAACGAAATGTTCGAGGAATATTGAATGTTTTCAAATAGATTATTATAAATATTGTAACATTGTCTAATATTTATAAGAATTATATAAACTGAATTGCAAAGTTGAAATTATTTGTTTAAAATATATTAGAACTATAGTCAGAATTAAAAGTAAAATCTGAATTATTTTCGATATACAAAAAAAAATTTTTTTGAAAAAAAAAATTGAAAAAAAATTTTTTTTTCCAAAATCAATTATTTTATTTAGACAAGTAGAAAGTTCTTTGAATCATTTAAATCGGACGCTTAGTTCTCTCAAAAACTGCCATTTTGTACACATTTAGCTCCGTATCTTCGAAATGGCTGGGCCTGCCTTTGCCAAAAACTAATAAACACTTCTGCCAATCATTACTAATTGAATGTGTTTTAGATCATTCAAATCTGATACTCCATTCTCTCAAAAACTCGATTTCTATTTTCTGCACTCTTTGCTCCGTATCTCCGAAACGGCTGGACCTGCCTTTGCCAAAAACGCATCAGCTCTTTTCCCTATCAATAGGAATCGAATGTTTTTTGAACCATTCAAATCGGTTGATCTGTGCGCCCGAAAACGTGACTGGAAATTTGTATCCATACATACATACATACACACACACACACATCCATTTTTTCTGAAGTATGCCAAAATGTTCAGAAACCTTCAAAACGTCGAGAAATGTAAAAATTTTCGATTTCGATTTTTGGACGATTGCAATAACTTACCCGACGGAAAGTTAAAAAAATACCCAGGCTAAGCACAGTCTAAGCGCCACTCTAGTGCAAATGTTTACTCAAGAGCGTTTAGACTGTTTATGTACTGGCTGGAGCACTTTTACAATTTTGTGAAAACTATTGAAAAATGTGAAAATGCCGCCAAGCCAAGCACAGTATAAGTGAAAATGTCGCACAGAATTATTTGCAAATGCGTTTAGACTTGTGACTATACGGAAGCACTTTTTCAATTTTGTGCAAATTAGGCAACTATTTTTTTTGAAATTGAATTCGAAATGAAGTGACGATTGTTAATGTTCTGGAGATAAATTGATTTATGACTTACATTTGATTTGCTCAGATATAACACGATAGCAATAATAATGAAAGTTGCAGTATAATATATTTGAAAACGTTTAAAATTTCTCGAATATTTCATTACGGTACGGGAAGTTCCGGCTATTTGCCTTAAGGCACGATGCCATACACCACTAGTTTCATTTTATCTTCATCCTATTTATTATATTTTTCCAAAACTGATTTAATATTCTCGACAGAAAACTTTTAAATGAAAAGACTTCGTTTTAATGACGTCCGAAAGAAAGTTTTTCGAACAAACAAAAGTCTCGACCGGAATTTTCTCCGGCAGGTTTCTCCATTTATAATTTAGAGAAAAAAGAGGTGAAACAAAATAATTCGTCTAAAGTAAACAAATTATCAGTAAATATTACATGAATTAGTAATTAGATTAATCTTGATATAATTATTATTTCATTAATGACTTTTGGAATTAAAAGAATACATGAAAAGCAACTTGAAAAGAATACTTGAAAAAATTGATAAAAAATACAAGATAAATGTTACATTTTTTTCATAATTTTATATATGACTTTATTTATTTGTTGATGGATTTAATTAATAACAATTAAATAAAACTAAAATTTGTTAATCAGAGAAGTTAAATATAATAAATAAAAAATTATTATTAATTTATAAATCCAAAAAGACGTCTTTGACACCAGTACTGAGTAATTTAATTTAATAATAACTTTTGTCATTTCATATTTTGTTGTGTAAGAGCTCGATAAATATGTTTTAACTTCCCGTAGGGTAAGTTATTGTAATGGGCCGAAAATCGGAATTGAAAATTTTTACATTTCTCGACGTTTTGAAGGTTTCTGAACGTTTTGGCATACCTCAGAAAAAATGGATGTGTGTGTGTGTGTGTGTGTGTGTGTGTGTGTATGTATGTATGGATACAAATTTTCGTCCACGTTTTCGGGCGTACGGATCAACCGATTTGAATGGTTTAAAAAACATTCGATTCCTATTAATAAGGAGAAGAGCTGATTAGTTTTTGGCAAAGACAGGTCCAGCAGTTACGGAGATAAGGAGCAAAGAGTGCAGAAAATAGAAATCGAAGTTTTGAGAGAACGGAGCATCCGATTTGAATTATCTAAAAAACATTCCATTAGTAATGATTGGGAGAAAGGGTTATTAGTTTTTCGCAAAGGCAGGCCCAGCCATTTCGGAGATACAGAGCTAAATGTACAAAAAATGGCAGTTTTTGAGAGAACTAAGCGTCCGATTCAATTGATTCAAAGAACTTTCTGCTTGTCTTAACAAAATAATTGATTTTGGAAAAAAAATTTTGTACCATTTTTTTTTTTTTTTTTTTTTTTTTTTTTTAATTTTTTTTATATTGAAAATAATTCAGATTTTATTTTTAATTCTGACTATAGTTCTAATATACTTTAAACAAATAATTTCAACTCTGCAATTCAGTTTATATAATTCTTATAAATATTAGACAATAATACAATATTTATAATAATCTATTTGAAAACATTCAATATTCCTCGAACGTTTCGTTACGGTACGGGAAGTTCCAGCAATTTGCCTTAAGGCACGATGCCACCCACCCCACTAGTTTACTTTGTATTTTGTGAAAAAAATGTTAATTTTAATATTTGTTATAATACTAGGCATAATAAAAAATAGTCTAGACGAATTACAAGTTTGTAATACAAACGAGGTGGGCCTAAGATATATTTTTTTGAATAAAATATTTAAAACAACTGTTCTCTTACATTAAATAATTTTTATCTTAATTAACTGTCGCCATTAGGTGATTTATTGAATTAATAATAAAGTAAATAAAAATAAAAATTGTTTATGATACAAAGAAATTAATTATAAGCAAAAATTTAATAAAATTTTATTTAATATTAATTAGTTTTTAAATCCCTGAGTAATTTATTCAAACAATAATTTTTGTTATTCCACATTAGTTTGTTGTGACTTTATTTATTTGTTGATGGATTTAAAAAATTAAATATTATAAATAAAATATTATTAATGATTTATAAATCCAAAAACAGGTCTTTGCCACCAGCCTTGAGTAATTTAATTTAATAATAACTTTTGTCATTTCATATTTTGTTGTGTAAGAGTCAATAAATATGTTTTTACTTCATATTTTGTAAAAAAAATGTTAATTTTAATATTTGTTGTATTACTAGGCATATTAAAAAATAATTCAGTCAAATTACAAGTTTGTAGTACAAACAGTCCGTCCAAGAGATTTTGTCAAACAAAATATTACGTTTATTTCAAAACAAATTGTATCTTAAATTAAATATTGTTATCTTAAATTAAATAATTTTCATCATTTTAATTATAAATAATAATATTTTAAATATTAACATTTTAATAATTAATTTGTAAATTTCTGTATATGATTTTATAGTACATTTTTACAAGTGTCAAATTTTAAAATTTAAACATCGTAGTACAAACGGTGCGGCCTGTAGAAATAATAGAAATTAATTTATTAATAACAACGATATTAACACACTCTTGTGTGTATATTTGTCGAAAATCATTTTTATTTCAAAATGTGAAAATGAATGTGCAAATTTTAGTGTTTGATGTTATAGCAGATACATTCAAGTATATTACATTAAAATTTCAATACTGTAGTACAAACGGTGCGGTCTCCACACATTATTTTAGTGATACAAAATTTTCAACACACTTTTGCGTGTACTTTTTGAAAAAATGATTTTTATCTTAAAATGCAAAAACAAATTAGCAAATTTTAGTATCTGGTCTTATAAAAGATACACTGAAGTATTTTGCACAAAAATTCCAACATCGTAGTACAAACGGTGCGGCCACCAAAAATTATTTTAGTAATACAAAATTTTCAATACACTTTTGCGTGTGCTTTTTGAGAAAATGATTTTCATCTCAAAATGCAAAAACACATTAGCAAATTTTGCTTGTTGGTCTTATAATAGAATCATTGAAGTACCTTGCACAAAAATTCCAACCCTGTAGTACAAACGGTGCGTCCTGTAAAAACAATTCAAAACCCACAATTCTTTCAGATGTCTATTACATTTGTATTTATTTTCCTCTGTACAATTGTAGATATCCGAGTC